CTCCCTCCCTCCCTCCCTCCCTCCCTATCTTCTTTGGGGTTTTGACTTGGAGGCAGATATCAGCTTTGAGTTCGTTTGGATTGGGCTGGGGGAATGTTGGGTGGATGCGAACCTCCGTCTGGACAGCCCCCATCTCCTGGGGCCTAGAGGAAGTGCTTCAGTAGTTCAGAGTGCCCGGCCCGGCGTGCCCAGAGGGTACCAGGGAAACTGCAAACTATGAGATGGCAACACAAGCTTTTCTGTAACCACATTGTTGGAAAAATGTACCTAGTTTCTCTTTTCTTTTCCCCTGGTTTTAAACCTAAATCAACCATTTTTCATCAAAATAAGAACTTGATAATCCATCCCATCTCCCTAATCCAAGACCAGTTTCCAGGAGCAAAGAAAGGTGATTTGTTCATCGAAAGCAGGGAGGCGTGAAGTCTCTGACCCTAGGTCTCCCGCAGTCTCCTGCTTACTCCATGGTCTGTTCCCGAGGGAGGGAGGTCTGCAGTGTCCAGCCCTGTCACCTGAGGCAGCACAAAGGCAGCAGGGGCACAGAGCTGTGGGTGGCGTCTACTCCGTAGAGGTGGGGAACATGTGCTCTGTCGTATGCAGCGCTGGGGGAACGACCAGGGGAGGTGGCTGCAGCGCTGGGCAGGGAGTGGCGTCCAACAGGACGACAGCGAGGTCCACACTGTGGCCCCCTGTGGGGGATGAGCTGTGTGGACACTGGGCAGGAGAGGGGCTCAAGGGCCTGCAGCGCAGCCGGAGGCGAAGCAGTGTGAGCAAAAAGGAGGAGGCGGGAGAGGTCAGAGAGGCTCGGCCGGCCGCAGGGCCCCTTGACCACTGGGAAGAGTCTGCCTCGGCTCTGGGTGAGATGGGCAGCCACCGGCCGGTCTCAGCAGAGGAGGGACAGGAAAGGACATTTGAAAGCCTCACCCTGTACTGATCATGGCTGGGGCAGGAGAGCCCTTGGGGTACCTGAGTGTCTGGCTAGCAGAAAAGGCTTGTTGGCCTTCCAGAGAGGCCAGCCAGGCACAACCAGACATCAGTCACCGCTGGACATGCTCCTAAGAAAGCCCCTGCTGGATAAGACCCGGAAGCCAACAGGAGAGCCCTCATGCTGAACCAGTGACAGGAGGCCTGTCATCTCACCTGCCCCGCGTGGCAGGAGGCCCGGAGTCTCTGGTTCCTGAGGCCGTGGTGGACAGGTCTGCATGGAGCCTGCAGAGTGTGCAGATAAACTGGGCACAGACTTTGATGTAAAAGGAGGCTGAAAGATAACTCCAGGCTTTGTGTTCTGGGAAGTGAGACGTGTTCCTTCCCATGGGGAAGAAGGTTGTGTGGGGAGATCAGGAAACAGGCTTCCTGCAGCTGGAGGGGCGGGCCTCTGAGGTCCCCCCAGAGAGGACGAGCCAGCAACTAAAGGGGCTCTGGGGCCGCCCTGCCCACCCGGGCCTGGTGGACGTGGCGACAGGTGTGTTCCTCACCCAGGGTACTAGTCCGTTCACTGGCTCGCTCTTGCCAGCCTTCCCATGTCACAGGCGCCATGCATCTCAGGCCGGCTGGTCCTGAAAACCCACTCGTCAGAAGTCTGCCCCAGGGTCCTCAGTGTCCCCTAAGGAGACCCGTCGTGACCTCCTTCCCGTCCTCCTCGGATGCCCCGTGAACCTGCTCCAGGTAAATGGGCGCGTGGTCACCCGGGGCCTCAGCCTTGCCCCCTCTGCTCTGGGGAGGTGGCCTGCAGTGGCGCCTCCCACGACCCCATCAGAGCCCTGTCCACCCCTCGAGGCCCAGCAGATGCCCGCTCTCGGGCTGGGAAAGCCTCCTCAAGCTCCCAGGGGCTTGGGTTTCCTCACCATTATTCTCCGCTTCTCTTTGCATCCCAGCTTTTCATAGATGCCTGTGTGTACACACACTGCACACCTGCACACATCTGCGTGGACATATGAAACTGTGTTTAAGAGTGTGCATGTGTACGTGTGGATGTGTGTACATTTAACGAGTGTACGTGTATATGTGAACGTGTGTGTGTGTTTGTGTGTGTATGCTCACACCCCTGTACACATCACTGGAAGTGGGTCTCTGCTTGGTTTGGGGTGTGCTCCGTGCCGAGCTGTGACTGACGTGTCGGTTTGGGCAGGTCTCTTCCCTCTGTCGTGTGACTCAGGAGTGTTCCTAGGTCAGGTCAAGCTGCTGGTCCTAGTGCTGACCTGGGTGGTCAGGGAGGGCAGCCAAGGGAGGAGGGCTGGGCGGAGGCTGAGCTCCAGGCCCTCGTGTCACCGGTGGCAGAGTGCACTCAGGTGACAGCTGCAGAGGGTGGCAGTAGCTCCTTCTTGTGTCCCTCTTCATGTTTCTGCTGGTTGGGTTTGTCCCTCTAGTCACACAGGAGATGAGGGGTCATCAGAGCAGCCCTGTAAGTGGGGACCCAGTTCTCCCACTGAGACTTCTCCTGAAGCTGAGCAGGCTCCCCAGAGCAGGGCGCCTGTGTGGGCGGGGGTGAGCCGGGCAGGGTGAGCCGGGCGGGGGCCACAGGTGCCCGTCGCTCCTGGCAGGTCTGTGGGAGCCCCACTGTGCCCAGCTGAGCTGCAGCTTCTCCAGAGCATGGCGGGAACCTGCAGGGCTCTAGGGGCCGTTGGCGTTACCCCCAGCAGACGGTGACCCAGATGCAAAAGTGCGGGTCTGTGCTTCACAGAGGCCACCGCCTAGTGGAGGGCCATCAGGTGACCCTGAGACGCTGGTGCAAGGGATGGTGCCGCGAGAAACCGCCCTGTAAACCCCTGGCTTACTGTGACCGATAGAGAAGAGGAGGGAGGACTCTGTGCCTTCGTCCTGTGTGCTCTTGTGTGTCCATGTGTGTCTGTGTGTGTGTGTCTGTGTATGTATCTACCTCTGTGTGTTTTCCTGTGTGTGTTGGGTCTATGTGTGTGTGTTTATGTGTCTGTTTATCTGTGTCAATGCATTTGTGCCTATGTATTTATATCTGTGTTTATCTGTGTATCTCTGTGTTGGGTCTCTGTGTGTGTGTGTGTGTGTGTGTGTGTGTGTGTGTGTGTCTATGTCTGTTTATCTATGTATCTGCATGTGTCTGTGTGTTGGGTCTATGTATGTGTGTGGATGTCTGTGTTTATCTGTGTCTGTGTGTCGGGTCTGCATGTGTCTCTGTGTCTGTGTGTTGGGTCTATGTATGTGTGTGTGTGTGTCTGTTAGTGTTTTGGAGGAAACTTGCTTTACCACAGCATTTCCCCTCCTGGAGAAAGAACCTCTGTTGGCCCTGAGGTCAGTGTGTAGGTGGTCAATGGGCTTTCAGAGCTCTGAGTGGACAGTGAGTCCCACCTGCATCTGTGGACACTGCTTCAGGCCAGCCCACTCCCTCTCACTCCTGCCCATCTTCTAAACAGACCAAAGACCAGCAGTGAGTCCCTGAACGTGGAGCCAGGCACAGCTGGGTCCCGAGGCCCCTCATTCAGCACAGTGCTGAAGGTGGCCCTGTGCAGTGCTGGGACAGGTGGCCGGGGGGACAGGGAATAAACATTGCAATACTGGCGGTGCACTCCCTCGGGTGGAGGAACCCAAGCCGAGGTCCAGGTGGGAGGGTGGCCTGGCAAAGGGCTGGGGGCCGAGCCGCACGTGCCAGGGCCCAGGGAGGATGTGTGTGTGTGTGTGTCTGTGTTTATCTGTGGCTGGGCAGGAGCACAGGGGAGCGCAGGACAGTGGGAGGGAGGCCAGGCCTGCAGCCCCTCGCCTCCTGGGGAGTTCCTTGTCCTCTGTGAACCTGAAGACCTCACGGCAGCCCGTCAGGCTGGGAGCCGGCTGGTCACTCCTGGGTCCCTTCAGAGCCCCTTATTCCCTTGTTTGTACACCTGGCCTCCTGTGCCACCCACCAGCAAGCCCTGGAGCCTTGGTCCACTGGTGTGGCACCTCCCACCCCAGGTTTTCCTGCGGTACCCATCTCGAGCTCCGCTGCAAGGTGGCAGGAGTCCCCTAACTAAAGCAGAACATCAGAGCAAAAAGATGCCATTTCAGGTGCCTGGTGACAGTCCCCCCGACCTGTGGAAAGGACGGCCAGTCTGAGAACCAAGGTTGACCTTTCTGCCAAATGTAGATTCGATTTGCAAACAAGGCCCATTTTTCTTTGAAATGAAGTATTTTCTTTTAGTTCTATAAGAATCAGTGGCCCTTGGAGCGTCATGTGACGCCTGGGTTCCACAGCTACACCCCGTTGCCAGAGACCACGCCTGCAGGGAACATGGAGTGGTCCCTCCCTGCTCTGGGAGACACTCGGAGTCCATGGCGCTTGGACCACTGAGGAAGGGCTCCCGGGCCCAGGCTTTCTGCAGTGGGAACTTCCTCCTCCAGTGGGAGAAACTGCCAGTAAAGGAAGAAGGACGATTTACATACCGTGGCAAGGCTGCTCTGCGGGCTTAGTCACAGCCTGCCGCTTGAGACATCCTGGGAAATCCCTCTCTGGAAGAGGAGAGTTAAAGTCCGGGTTTCTGCACTTATAAGCCGTATTCCGAGTCATTCACAGGCAGAGTCACCTCCCTTTGTTTTTAATGGCAAACGATCATTGTGATTTTTCCATCATGAGTTAGTGGTGGGGTGTGCTTTGCCAATTCTGCATTTTGGTCTCACCCTGAACACACCATAGGAGACTCCCCCGCTCTTCTTTCTGCTTCCCAAGACTCCCAGGAAAACAGCTTCCGTGGCACATTCTGCCCAGGGTACAGCTGGAATGAGCACTGTGGACAGTTCCGCGGACCAAGCAGAGGTAAGAACACGCTTCTGGGGGTGGCTCGGCCTCGAGGATAATGGACAGTGAATGAATGGAGGTGCTTTCTTAATTTTTTAATAAAAGATAACCAAGGTATAATGAGAAACTGACCACATATTTCATTTAGATATCTAAGTGGTATTGCTGAAATTTTAATACCTAGAGGTTGGCATGGGTATTATGGTAGAGAAAGAAATGCCCAGACTCTGTGAATATAGATCGTGCTCTGTAGAAAATACCTTCAGGGAATTATTGCGTATGGGGGACATTTTTTCTGTACTAGAACTCAGTCATTAGAAATCTTTGCACTTATTGCAATATCAGATGCCTTTTTAGCAACTGAAAAGCAAAGCAAATCCAAGTGAAATTTCCCCCAAATTTTAGTATTTGGTTGATTTTGCCATATTTTAATACACACTTGAGTCATATAAGCCATGGCAAAACTTAGACTGATCTTCAGAGAAAGCCCTGGAGATACAGCTGTGGCTGACAAGCCCAGGGTCCTCTCCTCCCCCCTCCCTATTTCCCCAATTACAAAGACCACTGCTGAGTCTCAGAAATCAGCGCTCCTCCAGCTCCAGATAGACCCCTTTGAAAATCCAGTATCTGTATCTTATTTATAAAATAAGAATCAAGGTCAGAGTGTTTTATAATTTTTTCCAGAAAAAAATTATTTACGGAAACAAATCAGCCCACTGCTGAGTTGTCCACATCTGCACTCCCAGAAGGCAAGAGCCTACAGATGTTTTATGGTCACAGAGTTTTTTCCACCTCACAAGTGCAAGGAGGGCTTTTTGAGGACCCCAGATTGACATTTCCGAGTGTGAGCGGGATGGCAGGATATTGACTTCCTAGGAGCCATGATGACTGAGGACGTTGGTGAGGCACAGAGACTCCATTTCAGAAGTCTCAACCCAGTGTCCGGGGCACTCTGTGTCGGGGGGACCTGGACTTGCTCCTGTGGTCAGAGTCCCTGTTGCTGCACCACTGGGTGCTCAGCTCAGCCCACACCAAGTAGGGCTGGCTCCCAGCACATGCCAGATCCAAGATGCTTAGTGGGTCAGTCAGTTCTAATCTCGTTTCTTAAAAGTCTTCTCCCCAAGGAGAAGGTCACTCACTCCCAGGAACCAACATGCTGGTTACCTGGATTTCCACGTCCCTCTTGGCGATCAGCCAAACCAGTTTCTTGTGGTTAACAGCAAGTTTACACAGAAGCTCACTGTTAAAATGTGGCCTTAGTCACAACACAGGTCTAAATAGAAAGAAGGCGGCAAAGCAAAGAGCAGCAGCTACACAGGTGTACTCCCTCAAACCTTAAAGTACAAGTCAGAAGTAAGAAATACAGGGAAATGCAGCTTTATAAATGGTTTCTCATGAAAGAGCCCTCAAAATCCCATGATGATGGCAAAAGAACTGTTTCCTCTGATCTTTCTGGCAAAGATCAACATGTTTTGAAAATATTCTTAACTGTTCATGCAGAGCCTCGAGGAGCAATTCCGTGGTCCACAGTCCCTGATGGTAAGGGGCTGAACGCAGATCTTCATCACCCTCCGGCTTCTATGACCTAAAGGACTCTTTGGTTACAGCACAGAAACCAGTCCTTTATGCAAGTGACAATTTAGCCCAATGACAGGCAGCTGCAGGGACTTCTGTGCTTTCTTTAAATGAATATTCCCATTCTTGACAAACATAGCCACCCCCCCCAAAAAAAACCCAAAATATGATTAACGTTTCCATTAAGCCATTAAGCTAATAATTTATTGTCAGTTCAAACTTATACTCTAAGACTTTTATTCCAAGAGCTGGGTAGTGTTTCACAGTGCCGGACAATCTCTGTGCCCCCGACTCTGACGTGCTGGTATCCACAGTCCTGGGGTTGAGTCCTGGGGTCTGGGCTTCAGCCGCTGTGCTCCAAGGACCACTGTGGTCTTCATTCTTGGTGGTCCTATGCCCCCTCTGACTTTTGACAGAGACACTCTTTAGAATTTGCTGGTGATATGCTCATGGGCAGGACTGAAAATGACTCTCGAGAAATGTTTACTATGTAAATGTCTAAAACGTATCCTGAAACTGACCCAATTTCTGTAAGTCGTTCTACTCTTATTTTTTTGGAAAGGGATTCAAATTCGAATTTAAGAAGTTCTAACTTCCGGTTTGCCATTATATGGATACATTTATGATTTGTTGGGATATTTTGGTTACCAATTCCTGTGACGGGATCTTGTTCATAATGGGAAGCTGTGCCGCGCCCGACAAGTCCTTATGAAGGAACCATGGGAGAGGGTTTCTGTTTTTGTCTGTGGTGCTGAAGCATTCTGCCACTGAGCTGCCTCTCAGCTCCAGAATCCAGTGTTTTTATAAGTCACAGTATAAGAGTTGGTTAAACGCAGGTGTTTGTGAAGGACAGTATTTCTCCTATTTACTTTGCAAATGGTTTTACCTCAATCCTTTTTTTTTCCCCCAAGAGTGCTCAATCATCAAGAAGAAAGAATTTGACAGATCCTCTTGAACAAAAGATAAGGTGCTTAGAGAAACAGAGGAAAGAGGTAACTTGTATTAGTTAAAGACGTCGGGATGGGTCAGTGCTGAGAACAAGCATCGTGTCTTTTATCTTTGCTAAGTGAAGGTTTTCATCTCTCTGATATTGCATTGCATTATACTGAAAGAAAACAGTTTTATCAATATTTACGTAATGCCTAATAAAAAATGACAGGGTCATAAACTCATTTGGCATTTAGAATCCTAATTTTCCCCTACTTCAGCTGCTTCCCCCATGTGCCCCGTGTGAACTCATCACCTGTGTCACACAAGAGGCACACCTTGAAACTCCAAATGTGAAGGATTTCAGTGCAGTTGATTGAGAAGGTGTGACTTTGTGAATTGGGCATCTCGATGCTAGAGGTCTGGGAGCACTGACATTAGAAAATTCATTCCTTAAATGTTAATCATCTGAATTTTATTTCCTGAGTTCAGTGAGCATTGAACCTCTTTACTCTTCTTGACGGAGGAGGAGGTGAACGGTGTCACAATCGCAGTGCTCCCTCTGTGGCTGACCTGGCGGTGCCTCTGCTAATCCACTGTCTCCTCTATGGCACCATCTACTCCTCTTTGACACCACATAGAAAATTCCTGACCTATTAATGCAGTTACAGCACAGGAACGCCGATCCATAAAAAGTTAACAAAGCAGGCATCTTTAGTCAACATGACATAGAACTGAACTAAATAGCATATCTATCTCCACCAAAAGAGTTATCTAAGAACTGCCGTTCTGGGTTCGGTATTTTGTTTTGTCCTAGGTGACAGATTTGCTATTTCCGTTTGTCATTTGTGACTATCTTCTTATATTGATAAGTGCTGCAGATTGCAAATTTCCCTACAAGGAAACTAAAACACACGTCACACTGTTGTCTTCTAATTAGCACAGAGGTTTAAAACCTTTAAAGAGTTTTCTAAAATTGTCTTACAGCAAAACTTATTCCTTGAAAAATCTATACTTTTGAAAATGTGATAGTATCCATTCAATGATTATGTATCACAAATGATGTTATTCTTTTAAAGAATACTATTGCAAACAAATGATTATTATTTAATGGTACAGACTTCAACATAAACTTTTTTAAAGCAAGAAAAATAATTCACTGTAATAATCAGTGTATATACATAAAAAGACCCTTCACACATTAGTAGATCTTATAGAAAACCACCAACATCACATTTTTTATTAGATTCTGATAGAATTAAACAAAGAAGATGAAAGTTCATATGAGACAGTTAAAGCTGGCTGGTGTGCTGTTTAGCGGGCTGGATGGGATACACCCAGACTTAATGGTCTCCCTGTGTGAACCAGTTAGGAACAGGTGAGAGTGAGCAGCAGGGCCTCCAACCCACAGAGAACTCGCTGGAAGGAGTTATTCTGTTCACTTTTGCTTTCCACTCTGTGTAACCTCAAAAAGTGATTCTATGGTTGCCCAAATTTGCAAAGGGGTAGAAATCCTTTGTTGACTCACTAGGTTTTAATAATTTCAGCTCCTGCAAGTCAATCAGCAGTGGGACCAGCAGTTTAGAAACATGAAGGAGTTGTATGAAAGAAAGGTAAGCACCCTGTCTGGCTCTCTGCATCTCCTTAACCTGGTCGGGGTCAGCCATGTGGAGGCTGAGGATTGCGGCTGTGAAGGCTTCTGTGGAAGGCAGTAGTGGAAGCTGGAGGGGAGAGGGTGCTGGGTGCACCTCTGGCCTCTTGGTACTGAAGAGGAATGAGCACTGCGAAGAGGAATGAGCACTGCGGTGGAGCGCCTTGGGCAGCGGGGAAAAATGGGCTACAAACCACCTCTAGTGCTGTCCCCAGAGTGTGCTTATGTGTCCTGCTTCCCAGCAGGGTCACTAGCAGCCATCAGTGCCTCTGCAGGCCGTGGTGTCTGTTAGGGACGTCTAAAATCCATGCTGTGCTCTGCAAGACCAGCCTCTAATTCTTTCCCCTTCCCTGTAAGCCACTGTGCTGTTGAGAAGCTTTGGCTTTGGTGAGAAAGCAACTTTCTGGAGAAAATCTCCTTTAAATCAATTTGTAATTTGAAAGCCACTCAATCTTCAGAAAGAGAAAGTAAATCCCCTAAATAATTCGGAATTAAGAAACTGGACCACAACCACCTTGCTACTCTCTCCCTCCTTTTATACCCAGAGCTGTTAAATTCATAAGGTGCAAGGTCATGCTCCCACCGCGTCCGCAGCGGTGGGACTGGAGGAAGGAGGGAACAGCTGGAGGCCGCGGGGCCAGGCCTGTGCTGGCTTTCGGTTGGACGAGCCCTTTCTAAAATGCAGACACCCTGCTGCCCGGGAGGGACGCGCTGAGGAGGGCGCTCGCGTCTCGGAGCGCACAGTCGGGTGCCGGGCTTGGGCGCTGGAGACGGGTCTGAAACTGCCGGTTCCTTCCGCAGGTGGCGGAGCTGAGGACCCGGCTGCGCGCGGCCGAGGGCGCCCTGGGCGAGCTGGAGTGCCAGCGGCGGAGCCAGAGCGCGGGTGGCGCCCCCCGGGGCCCGCGCCGGGAAGAGGTGGGCGCCCGCGGGGTCTGCGTCGGGTGGACCCTGGGCTCCCGCACCGCGGCGCGGGGCCGGTTGCGCGTCTCCAAGGCCGTGGACAGGAACGTCGTGCCCTGGTCCCCGGGCTCTGCTTGTTATGGCCGGAGGGGAGCGCCAAGGCCACACGCTGCGCTTGCCGAGTCGCTTCTCTGGTGTCGCAAGTGGGCATCCTCTTGTCGCCAAGCAGAGTGCAGGGCGTTTCCAGCGCGCTTCGCCCTCCTATCGCCCTGAACATTCTCACCCGTTGTTTTGCCTCATTGACCTCGAGAAAGCTGGCCCCCTGTGGCCAGCACCCAGCCTGCAGCGGCAGGTTCCCTTCCCAGGAGCCGCCTTCAGGGCTGAGGCTGGGCCTGCAGAAATGGCCCCAGGCTGGGATCTGGGCTCCCTGGGTCCTGCTGAGGGTGCCAGGCCTCAGGCCAGAGGCGGTGCCTCCTAAAGCGGACTCTGTTTCTTCCTGCTTTTTCTTCAGTTACTGGACTTGGTGGGTACTAAGAGGATGAGAGGAGGATCTTAAATTCTGAGCTTCTCCTTTTAGGTCTACTAAGAAAAAAACCAGCAGGGCAGATATTGCAGGGAAGTCACCGTCACAGCCCGGCCCTGGCCTCTTTCCTGGCCTTGCCCACCTGGCTGAGACCCCTGCCGCATGCCCCGGGCAGTGGGCGGGCAGCTCCTCTCCGGCCTGTGGGTGGCTTCCTTTGCCAATGACACCTCACCAGGAATCTTAGCAGTTTTTGCCTCTGGAGTGTCGACCATTTTCTAGTTAAAATAATTTTCTCTTGATTGGTTCATTTTCCAAGTGTATTGGCTCTTTCTATTTAAATAAAATCAAGTAGAAATACTTTCACTTTTAAAGAAAATGAACTTCCTAAAGTATATTTCTTAAATTTAAGAATTGCATTGGGAAACACCGATGACTAAAATCACACATTTTGGCACATATATTTCCTATTTTCTCTTCCTGAGATACCTGTATTGTGCAATATTTATTTATTCTCAGCCAGTTTCCTTCACATCAGGCTTACTATTTACTGTGTAGAGTTAAGAAGTAGGTGACATTGTTTAATTCCAGAGCCCATTAATGCCTTGAAAGTGAATCTTCAGTTATTTCTAACAATATGCTTCCAGGTGATGGTCTAAAACGTGGTTTGTGACCACACTCGGATGCTATGATCTCTGCCTTTTAAACCAACAATGGCACAGGTGCTCTGAGCAAAGGGTCCTATTTGCCTGAATCCCTGGCTTTTCCTGCTCTCTGCTGCAGCCTGGTTCAGGACTGGGCTTTGAGATACTTGATATTGTTTTGTTGCATGATTTTTTTTTTTTTTTAGAATTGTGAATGTTTTTACTGAGTCCCTTATCCATCACTTAGTAATGGTAACTAGATGATTTTTCAGACTCATTTATCTGACCAAGAAAAGTGAAGATTGGGGATTTTGATGTCTTTTTCTGGGGTCACCAAACTTCTAAGAAGTAGCACTAAGTTTTGATAAAGAAAAATTATCTTCAGTCCTAATGCTGCCGTCCTCTATCCAAGAGCACTGCTTGAAGGAGATGCTGAAAGGCAATGTCACGGTCTCTCTGCACTTCTCCAGGAGGGAAGCCCTCTGTCTGCCACGGGCAGCTGAGGCACAGGGCCCTGCACTATCCTCCCTGCTGACTTTGACTGTGTTCTGAAGTCCTTGTTCTTTCTTTTCTAAGGAAAGGGAAACTCTAAATGAAGAATTACAGGAACTGAAGAAAGAGAATAAGCTTTTGAAGGAAAAAAATGCTCTTGCGATGAAGAAGAAAGAGCATTATGAATGTGAAATACAACGCCTTAACAAGGTACCGAGCAGGTCCCAAGGTGGAGGCCAGAGCTCCCTGGGGGGCGGGCACAGTCCTGCTACTGACACTGACAGTATCCAGTACTGGTCGTATCCAAGACAGCTGCCACATGGCCTCCGCCTCGGTTGGGTACAGGGCACACCGTAGCTTTACCAGCACAACTGTGGCTCAGCCCCATCTGGTCAGGAGGCTTTGGGATTCTGTGTCTCTGCAGAGGGCATGGCAAGAGAATGAGAAACTGCAGAGGCAGTGAGAACACACACACATCTTTCTTTCCTCCTCCTCCTCCTCCTCCTCCTCCTCCTCCTTCCTCCTTCAGTCTGCAGAGCCATGTAAAGCAGGTGCATGCTTGTGAACACTCACCTCTCAGCAACCACAGGAGCTTCCTGAGGAAGTGGGCGGGCCTTTAAGACAGATGCTGTGGAGTTCAGCGTGGTGCATGCGTGGAAGTAAGCTGAATGCCAAGCCCAAGGTCAATAGCAAGGTTAAGGCCCAGCTCACCTCTCACAGAGGAAGGGCAGAAGTCAGAGCTGCCTGGAAAATGCCAGGGATCCAGTACCCGAGCTCCATCTTAGTCTTCAAAGGAGCAGTTGTGCATTGCTCAAAGGATGAGGAGGAGAGAGTGAGTGTGTGTGTGTGTGTGTGTGTGTGTGTGTGTTCCATGCACCAATTCTTAATTTCCTGGGGGAAGAGAAATATATAAATTTCAGGGAAATTTTCATTTGAAGGTGAACATAAACTGGCACAGGGGAATAAACACCTTAGATCCTGAACCACTGAGAACCCTGCTCTCTTGCTCATGTGCATGTGTTGCACTTCATTTTTTAATCTGTATTTATAGCTAGCAGAACTTTTTTTAAAAATTAGAAAATTAGTGGTTTGGTAATTTTGGTGGTTATAATCATAGGTTCTCAACAAGAAAATTTAATCTGAGTAAGACTCATGTCTTTGTACAAGTGTCGCCTCCACGGGGACCTTTCGGCTGTGCTAGGAGTTTCCCTGGGGGGCACATGGACTTGTCCTGGAGCCTGCGGCTGCCTGGCACAGCTCGAGCTGCCTCTGTGTCCCCGCGTCTGCTCCGCCTGGCGCTCTGGAGCATGAGCTCAGCGGGGGTAGAATTCCTGCAGGCTGGACATCCATCCGTTGGCACAGCAGGCACAGGCAGAGCCACACACTCCGAGAGGCCCACGTGTACATCTCATTTCGCCTAAAATCACAAGAAAAAGTCAACTTTCAGGTGAAAACTTGCCTCAGACAGTAATACACCCATCTCTCCCACAGTGCAGTTGTGAGTACTGTCTCAGAGTGCATTTCTGAGGAGGGGGCTCGCCAAGGCAGCAGTCAGGCGGGACCCTTTGGTCTCTGCCACGACCCGAGTGCCAAGGACAGGCCTTGCCCCCAGAAACTTCTTAAAGTATGTGCCGAGTGGCGAATGCATGAATGGATGGATCAACAAATTTAACTCACTAGAACATGACGTATTCAGTAGCCAGTTTTGGACCTGAGATTTACCATTTCGTAAGCATAATACAGCAATGTGATGTACAATACCTTACTCATGGGCAGTGAGGAAAAGTGAAGGGTCCTTAAAGCCAGAAAAGATGTCCTTGCGCACATCTGTGCCTGGAGCACCACTTGCACAAAGCGATGGTCTTGGGGAGATTTCTGCTCACTTAGCACAAGTGTCGGGGGAAATGAAATGTCGGACTTTGTTATTCCATTTTACAATGGGTCTTTTTTTTTTTCCCACTACGGGAAGTAGGGGAAGTAGAAGCCACTGGACATGTTGATTGGGGGGACCAAGGACCGTCTCAGTGGAGCCGGGGTCTCCCTGTTTCATGTCACTTGGCAGATGCTGGTGACAGGTCACCTGAGCCACTCACAGGGCTGTCAGAAGTTCTGTCACTGTGGGTACTCAATTCAGGTGACTCACTTTGAATACCCCAGGGCTTTGTCCTCACCAAGTTCCTACAGGGGGGTCAGGGACAACCAGAGGGAGTGAGAAGCCCTGCTGAAGCTGGTCGTCCAGGGCCACCCGCGGGCTCATTGACCCATCCCTGGTCTCGCCATTGGGGTGGGCAGGTTCCCGACACCTCAGTACTGAGAGTAAGCACCTGTCCCAGAATAGGTGGTGGGGTTTATTCGAGGAAGCCGGAAAACCCAAGATGGCATATATGTCTCCTGGACTCACCTTTCATTTATGACTCATTTCAAAATTTCTAAAATCCCAAGTAACATGAAAGGTAGGAAAACCTGGGAATTCAAACAACGAGGTCTGCCAGGCACCCCGTCGGGTGGACGGTGAGTGGTCCTGTTGGCTGCCGCTGTCACAGGGCGTCCCGCACTCCGGAGTTTGTGTGCTGCCTTCCATGTCACTTAGCAGGTCTACTTATTCTGGAATCCCCCAGAACTTCGTGTTTTATACAGACCCTGACGGGCTGGGGGTGAGGCTTGGGATAGAGTCTGATGCCCAGCACACACACAAAAATCTGACAAAACATAAATTACTGGAGAACTTGTTGTTTCCGCCATTTCTTCCCTGAGAAGAAGAGCAGTTCTTGTTTCTCTTAGAACTTCCTGAAAAGCCAGGTTCGCGTCAGGCTGGATGGCGTCTCGGCTTCGGAGACATTCTGTTAGGGAACTCGGGCTGGACAGGGGACGCGAGGCCACAGGCTTGCCCTTCCTTTGCTGGTGTTGCGACCCTGTGGGTAGGAGCGCCCTTGCGTGGAGGACAGTGACCAGTGGTGTGTCCTGAGGGCCTCGAGGCGAGGCCTGTTCTGTCCTGGGAACTCATCTCCATGTGAACCTCGGGCCTTCAAGCTTGGAGGGGACACCTCCCTGTGACCCGTGAGAGGCGCACCACCCGGGTGGGACACAGCGTGGCCACCTCAGCAGTTCTCACCCCCTCCCCAGGGCGCCTCAGCAGTTCTGACAGTGAACCCGCCTGTGGCCAGGCTGGGCCGGGGGCTGCAGGGGCTGCAAGTCCACAGGGGCTGCCTTCCCTGGGGGTTCCTTCTCTTGTTGGGGACATGAGACGGTTACACAGAAGAATGTCCCCCCAAATGTCACCTGGGATGAGCCACACCAGCTTTTGAGAAGTGCAGATTCTGGGCTCTGGGCTCCCGATTCAGAACCTCTAGGCAGGGCTCGGGGCTGGGCCTGTCGGGCCGCCTCTGGCTCCCGAGCTTCGAGCACCAGGGACGGGTACACGGTGACTGAGGCCGAGAGTTGGTAGAAAGGCTGTAGACAAGTCTTCTATTCGTGGTTGGCCAGGGCGAGGGGCCCATCACTGAGGACCCCCAAGCAGCAAGGGGCGGACGGCCAGCAGCGGCTTTCCTGGGGAGCAGGCAGGCTCTGACCACGGACCCGTGGGCAGAAGTCAGAAGGGGAAGCCGCAGGGGGAGGAGGGCTGCTGGGGGCGTGGAGGGACGCGGACCTCGGGA